CAATGGCCCTACGAGGCTGCCTGGCTTCACTGAGACGGCGGCCTGCATGCCCACCGGGCTGGCATCAGAGCAGGAGGCACAGATGGTGCAGGCAGCCTTCCGCTGTTGCCTGGGCTGCGGGCTGCTCGATGGGGTCTTCAACGTGGAGCTCAAGCTGACCGGGGCTGGGCCTCGGCTTATCGAGATCAACCCCCGCATGGGTGGCTTCTACCTGCGTGATTGGATCCTGGAGCTCTATGGCGTGGACCTGCTGCTGGCTGCTGTTATGGTGGCCTGCGGCCTGCGTCCTGCCCTGCCCACCCGCCCACGTGCTCGTGGCCACCTGGTGGGCGTCATGTGCCTTGTGTCCCAGCACCTGCAGGCCCTGAGTTCCACTGCCAGCCGTGAGACCCTGCAGGCCCTGCACGACCGTGGCCTGCTACGCCTCAATCTGCTGGAGGAGGCCCTGGTGCCTGGGGAGTACGAGGAGCCCTACTGCAGTGTGGCCTGTGCCGGGTCCAGTCCCACCGAGGCCCGCCTCCGCCTGCTGGGCCTCTGCCAGGGCCTGGGCATTGACGGGCCCAGCTACCCTGTTGCTCACTTCCTGTCTCACTTCAAATAGCACTGGGGCCAGGGGGCAGGGAAGCAGTGCTGGGAGTAGGGACTGTGGTACCCTCTACTCCCTGGAGCTCTTCCTGCCTCTCTCCACATCGCCATGCCCCAGCCCCAGCCTGGCCTGCTGCAACGCCTAGGTCTGTTTCAGAGCAGCAGGGCAATTTTGACACCAAGGCATCCTGGACTCAAGGGCCTCTTGCCCTCCCAAACGCCCCAGTCCAGCCCAGAGCTTCCCCAGCATTCTAGACTTGGAGAAGTGACAATGACCGCACACACACACACCCCTCTGTCGCCAGCTCCCCAGGTGGGAGTGAGCCCAAACCCAGCCCCTCCTGTCCACCCCTCCAGGTCTCACTCTCTTCCTGCCACCTACAAGAGGAGAGGACCTGGCTGGGCCCCAAGCCTTGGACAAATCCTAGAAAAACCTGAGACTAGAACCCTTGTCTTTCTCTTACCCAAATTCTAGGATAGCTCTAGAGCCTGCTAAAAACTTGGCGGCATCCAACCTGCCTCATTCGGCCTGAGCAGTAGAGGCAGGTGGACTGTGGACAGAAGCAATCCTCTTTCCGCTCACCCCGGGCAGACAGTACTGCCTGCGTTCCCCCGATGAAAGGAAACAGGCTGAGAGAGGAAAAATGACTGCTCCAGCATTATACCACCGTGGAGGGTGGGTCACAGGACATGATGCAGGGTCCAGGTTTCTGTTTTGATCAAGTCTTACATGCCCATTCAGCTTCTAGGCCCCCCTCACCTCCCTGCCCTCATTCACGAGTGGCCCTGAGACATGTGAATGCCTCCCTCCTATGCATCACAAACCTTCTCCACGAAGCTTTGGTGCTTTGGCCTCCGGCACACCTAACTAGCATTGGCAAAGGAGTCTACATTCTCTTCCTCATTCAGGGAAGATGCTTTAAGAGCTCCTGCCTCTGTGCAGCACAGGAACTGGAGACAGCTCCCCAAGCATCCCTCCCCAAATAAAGGCTTATGTACTAGTGAAGTGTCTAGATAGGTTCTCTTGACTGGACAGCTCCTCCCAGGATCAGCTAGATAGGGGGTGGGGAAGGGGATTCAAGGGGATTGGGGATACTTGTAGCATCTGGAGCTAAGGGAAAACCACCCCACTGGCCTGGTGTCTGGGTTGCCCTGGGTTGCCAGGGGCCTGCCCTATGCCCACATCAAGACCTGAACCTGAGGATCTCCTTTGGTAGAATTACAACCAAAGGGCCACATCCAACCAGATAACCCTCTGTGTGCCTGGAGACCCTTGAATTCTGTCCACCTCAGTTCATACCCAACCTCCCCTATGCAAACAGAATGCACACCTAGACAGCTTCCAACAATCAGAACTCACACCCAAGGCCTGGTCTGGCCCAAATTCACTTCCACACATTCCCATCCAACAAGAATCCATACCCAATCTTTTTTTTTTTTTTTTTTTTGAGACAGAGTTTCACTCTTGTTGCCCAGGCTGGGTGGAGTGCAGTGGCACAGTCACAGCTCACTGCAACCTCTGCCTCCAGGTTCAAGTGATTCTCCTGCCTCAGCCTCCCAAGTAGCTGGGATTACAGGCGCCCACCACCAGACCCGGCTAATTTTTGGTTTTTTAGTAGAGATGGGGTTTCATCATGTTGGCCAGACTAGTCTCGAATTCCTGACCTCAAGTGATCCACCCACCTCGACCTCCCAAAGTGCTGGGATTGCAGGTGTGAACCACTGCGCCCCGCCAAATCCATACCCAATCTAAAGTCACAGACCACGTGTCGCAGACCAGATTTACTGTGTTGAGTGTGTTCTTTCTTTCTTTTTCTCTTTTCTTTTCTTTTCTCTTTTCTTTTCTTTTCTTTTCGACGGAGTCTTACTCTGTTGCCCAGGCTGTAGTGCAGTGGCGTGATCTTGGCTCACTGCAACCTCTGCCTCCCAGGTTCAAGCGATTCTCCTGACTCAGCCTCCCAAGTAGCTGGGATTATAGGCATGTACCACCACGCCTGGCTAATTTTTGTATATGTGGTAGAGACGAGTTTCACCATGTTGGTCAGGCTGGTCTCGAACTCCTGACCTCAAGTGATCTGCCCGCCTCAGCCTCCCAAAGTGCTGGGATTGCAGGCATGAGCGACTCTGCCTGGCCTGTGTTCATTCTGTCAGCAGAGTTTTTGTTTTTTGCTGGGTGCAGTGGCTCATGCTTGTAATCACAGCACTTCAGGAGGCCAAGGTAGGAGGATCACTTGAGTCCAGGAGTTCAAGACCAGCCTCCTGGGCAACAAAACAAGACCTCCTCTCTAAAAAAGAAAGAAAAGGCCGGGCGCGGTGGCTCAAGCCTGTAATCCCAGCACTTTGGGAGGCCGAGACGGGCGAATCACGAGGTCAGGAGATCGAGACCATCCTGGCTAACACGGTGAAACCCCGTCTCTACTAAAAAATACAAAAAACTAGCCGGGCAAAGTGGCGGGCGCCTGTAGTCCCAGCTGCTCGGGAGGCTGAGGCAGGAGAATGGCTAAACCCGGGAGGCGGAGCTTGCAGTGAGCTGAGATCCGGCCACTGTACTCCAGCCTGGGCGACAGAGCGAGACTCCGTCTCAAAAAAAAAAAAAAAAAAAAAAAAAAAAAAAAAAAAAAAAAAAAAGAAAAAAAGAAAGAAAGAAAGGAAAAGAAAACAGAAAAAAAAATTAGCCGGGTGTTTGGTTGTGGTGGCATGTGCCTGTCGTTCCAGCTACTTGGGATTGGAGGCGGGAGAATCACTGGAGCCCAAGAAGTCAAGGCTGCAATAAGCCATGATCTTGCCACTGCACTTCAGCCTGGGTGACAGCATAAGATCCTGTCTGGCCGGGCGCGGTGGCTCAAGCCTGTAATCCCAGCACTTTGGGAGGCCGAGGCGGGCGGATCACAAGGTCAGGAGATCGAGACCACAGTGAAACCCCGTCTCTACTAAAAATACAAAAAACTAGCCGGGCGCGGTGGCGGGCGCCTGTAGTCCCAGCTACTCAGGAGGCTGAGGCAGGAGAATGGCGGGAACCCGGGAGGCGGAGCTTGCAGTGAGCCGAGATGGCGCCACTGCACTCCAGCCTGGGCAACAGCGTGAGACTCCGTCTCAAAAAAAAAAAAAAGATCCTGTCTGAAAAACTAAACAAAAGAAAAAAACAGTAAAGTTTTGGGTTTTTTTGTTTTTTTTTTTTTAGTTTGTTTTTTTTTTTTGAGACGAAGTTTCGCTCTTGTTGTCCAGGCTGGAATACAATGGCGTGATGTTGGCTCACTGCAACCTCCGCTGCCAGGTTCAAGCTATTCGCCTGCCTCAGCCTTCCTGAGTAGCTGGGATTACAGGCATGCGCCACCATGCCCGGCTAATTTTGTGTTTTTAGTGGAGGCACAGTTCTCCATGTTGGTCAAGCTGGTCTGAGCCACCGCGCCTGGCCAAGTTTTGGGGTTTTGTTTTGAGACTTGGTCTCACTCTATCGCCCAGGCTGGAGTGCAATGGCGCGATCTTGGCTCACTGCAACCTCCGCTGCCCGAGTTCAAGCGATTCTCCCACCTCAGCCTCCTCGGTAGCTGGGAGTACAGGTGCGTGCCATCACGCCTGTCTAATTTTTGTATTTATAGTAGAGGCAGAGTTTCATCAACTCTTGGCCTCAAGTGATCCACCCACCTCGGCCTCCCAAAGTGTTGAGATTACAGGTGTGAGCCACCGCCTCTGACCTTTTTGTTTTTTTGAGACAGGATCTCACTCTGTCACCAAGCCTGGAATGCGGTGGCACCATCATAGCTCACTGTAACCTTGAACTCCTGGCCTCAAGTGATCCTCCCTACTTGGCTTCCCAAAGTGTTACGATTACAGGCGTGAGGCATCGTGTCCGGCCTCAACAACGTTTTTTGAAGTGTCTATTCTGTACCAGGTGCCTAAATGTGCTTAACCTGACGAGGGAGTAAACGCCAACAAAATCTCATATTTACAGGTGTATCACTGACCCCCAAACCCTATTTAAGGCGGGAACCTGGCAACATAACCTGGCAGTGAGCTGGCCACTCCGATCTGTAATGCTCCGATCTGCAGGGTCCTCGAGCCAGAGGCACTTTGAGGAGACCCTGATGCCACTGTCTCCCTTTCAGGAGCGAACGGAAAGCAAGGCGACCTGCCTTTCATCACGCAGCCGGCCTGGCAGTACCCGGCTCCAACAGGGCTGGGGATTGTATTTACATTCACACCTGCATACACTTCCGACCCTGCCCCATCCAAACTCAAAACTCTCCGTAGAACCAAAACGGGCTCCCAGAGAGCCGTGCTGGGAAGACCAAGGGTCCTGCCGAGAGGATTCCGCAGGCTGAAGGCTGGGCGCCTCGCCACTCTAGGACTACAATTCCCGAGAGGCCTTGCGACGGACGCCATCTTTGTTCCTCACCAGGCTAAGCGATTTTGCGGAGGGGGAGTAAGACTTGCGTCATCGGCGCGCGCGGCCGCCGTCGCGGAGAGATGATGTTTAGGTCCGGGACTGTCAGTCGGTGCGCGGCCGGGTACGGGCCGAGGGGCCCGCGGGGCGGCGCCTCCATGGCGGCCGTGTTTGATTTGGATTTGGAGACGGAGGAAGGCAGCGAGGGCGAGGGCGAGGGCGAGCCAGAGCTCAGCTCCGCGGTGAGTGCCCCGCCCTGGCGCTACTGAATCTTGGAGCCGATCCTGTCACCCAGCCGAGGCCGGAGCAGCGGCTCCGCACGCCCGGAGCGGGCTCCGACCCTTTGCAGACCCAGATCCTTCTCAGATCCCGGCCTCACCCCGACCTCTCTTCCAGAACCCCAGCCTTTTCCCCCGATTCTCCTTTTCTTGCCCTCGGCTTCTTCCCAGTTCTTGCACATCCCATGCCAGCTGCCATGCCTGACACCCTTCTCTCCTGGGCCAACCAGTCCAACCTGAGCGGGAGCGGGGAGGTATCCTGGCACCTTCCTTGGCTCTTACCCCTCGGTTTCTCACAGGACGTGTGTCCCTTTGCCGAGTTGAGGGCAGCTGGCCTGGAGTGAGTGAGGGTCGTGTTGGGGGAGAGGGGAATGGAGTGGGGAAGGGGAACTGGGGAGCACTAGAGCCTTGTCCTCATTAACTCCTTGTGTCTGTAGGCCTGTGGGACACTATGAAGAGGTGGAGCTGACTGAGACCAGCGTGAACCTCTGCCCAGAGCGCATCGGGCCCCACTGCTTTGAGCTGCTGCGTGTGCTGGGCAAGGGGGGCTATGGCAAGGTAGGGGCGGGCGCACCCTCCTCCTGTCTCCCAGCCTCCATCTGCAGGCAGCAAAGCGTTCTCAAAACAAAGTAGACTTGTGAATCAGCAGGGCTTCTAAGGGGATTCAGAGCCAGAAACATAAAGGAGGGAAGGCCAAATCCTCTCCAATCGGACTTGAAATCTTCACTGCCCCACCCTTGGCAGGGCCTAGGCCTCCTGGTCCCAAAGCCAGAGCTTAGGGTGGGACTTCTTGAAGATAGGATGTGGAGAGGGAAGTTGATCCTGTCTCCCCTGCCCTACAGGTGTTCCAGGTGCGAAAGGTGCAAGGCACCAACTTGGGCAAAATATATGCCATGAAAGTCCTAAGGAAGGTGAGTCACTTGTTCAGCCAACGAATACTGTGTGACTGCCATTCCCAATGTGCTGTACCAGGCTTTGGGAAGACAGCAGGGAACACAGTGGAGGAGGGGCCCTGTCTTTGGCATTTACTTGTTTATTGTCTGTTGTGATGTGTATTGTCTTGCAGTAATTCTCAATGGGAGCAATTTTGACTCCCAGCAGACATTTGACAACATGTCTGTACACTGTTTTTTTTTTCCCTTGTTTTGAGAAGGAGTTTCGCCCTATCACCCAGGTTGGAGTGCAGTGGTGTGATCTTGGCTCACTGCCACCTCCGCCTCCCAGGTTCAAGTGATTCTTGTGCCTTAGCCTCCGGAGTAGCTGAGATTACAGGTGCCTGCCACCACACCCAGCTAATTTTTGTATTTTTTGTACAGGCGGGGTTTCACCAGGCTGGTCTCTAACTCCTAATCTCAAGTGATCCACCCGCCTTGGCCTCCAAAGTGCTGGGAGCTGGGATCACAGGCATGAGCCATCGCGCCTAGCCATTTTTTTTTTCTTTTGGGATAGAGTCTCGCTTTGTTGCCCAGACTGAAGTACAGTGGTGCACTCTCTGCTCACTGCAACCTCTGCCTCCCGGGTTCAAGGAATTATCTTACCTCAGCCTCCTGAGTAGCTGGGATTATAGGCGTGTGCCGCCACACCTGGCTAATCTTTGTATTTTTATTTATTTACTTATTTATTTTGAGACGGAGTCTCACTCTGTCTCCCAGGCTGGAGTGCAGTGGTGCGCTCTCAGCTCACTGCAACCTCCACCTCCCAGGTTGAAGTGATTCTCCTGCCTCAGCCTCCCGAGTAGCTGGGATTACAAGCATGAACCACCATGCCTGGCTAATTTTTTTTGTATTTTTAGTAGAGATGGGTTTTTGCCATGTTGCCCAGGCTGGTCTTGAACTCCTAACCTCAGGTGATCCACCCAGCTCGGCCTCCCAAAGTGCTAGGATTATAGCCATGAACCACTGTGCCTGGCCTAGTTTTTGTACTTTTTAGTGGAGACGGGGTTTCACCATGTTGGTCAGTCTGGTCTTGAACTCCTGACCTCAGGTGATTCGCCTGCCTCAGCCTGCCAAAGTGCTGGGATTACAGGTGTGATCCACTGTGCCTGGCATGGACACATTTTTGATTGTCAAGGCGAGAGAGGAGAGTTACTGGCACCCGGGGGGTGGAGGCCAGGGATGCTGCTGAACGTCCCACGGTGCACAGGGCGGCCTCCCACAACAAAGAATGACCTGGTCCCAGGTGTCAGTAGTGCCCAGGTTGAGAAACCCTGTGTTAGAGGATAAACCCATCCCTGGAAATGATGATGGCTGACAGCAGCAGAATTATGGAGAAATACAATGGAGTGACAGAGCATGGCAGCAGGTAACAGATGGATGGTCTGAGGAGCTCTGGATGCCCCCAGTTTTTTTCTTTTGAGACGGAATCTCGCTCTGTCTCCCAGGCTGGAGTGCAGTGACCGGATCTCAGCTCACTGCAAGCTCCGCCTCCTGGGTTTACGCCATTCTCCTGCCTCAGTCTCCCGAGTAGCTGGGACTACAGGCACCCGCCACCTCGCCCGGCTAATTTTTTGTGTTTTTTAGTAGAGACAGGGTTTCACCGTGTTAGCCAGGATGGTCTCGATCTCCTGACCTCGTGATCTGCCCATCTCGGCCTCCCAAAGTGCTGGGATTACGGCCTTGAGCCACTGCGCCCGGCCTTTTTTTTTTTTTTTTTTTTTTTTTTTTTTGGGATAGTCTCAACCACATCAAACTGACTGACTTTGGACTCTGCAAGGAGTCGATCCATGAGGGCACCGTCACTCACACCCAGGCTGGAGTGCAGTGGCGGGATCTCAGCTCACTGCAACCTCTGTCCCTGGGTTCAAGCAATTCTCCTGCCTCAGCCTCCTTGGTAGCTGGGATTACAGGTGTGTACCATCGTACCCAGCTAATTTTTCTATTTTTAGTAGAGACGGGGTTTTGCCATGTTGGCCAGACTGGTCTCAAACTCCTGACTTCAGGTGATCCACCTGCCTCGGCCTCCCAGAGTGCTGGGATTACAGGTGTGAGCCACCGCGCCCAGCCTGGATGCCCTAGTTTCTAACCAATTCCTGTATCTCCAGGCCAAAATTGTGCGCAACGCCAAGGACACAGCACACACACGGGCTGAGCGGAACATTCTGGAGTCTGTGAAGCACCCCTTTATTGTGGAACTGGCCTATGCCTTCCAGACTGGTGGCAAACTCTACCTCATCCTTGAGTGCCTCAGTGGTATGAGTGTGGGCCCAGGCAGGGGTGTGTGGCGGGAGCAGGGAGCCAGCATAGGAAGCTCTGGGGGGAAGCTCTTGAGAGATGAGTCTGTGGGGGTTGTCTAGGGGCCCCCACTCTGTCCTACCCATCCACCCATCTATCCGTGCATCTGTCCCATCATTCATTCATTCATTCATTCAGCAAACGTCTGTCCAGCACCTACTGTGTCCCTCACATGTGTTGGGGGTGGATGGGCATGGTGGGAATTTGGGTAGAAGTCCAGAGGATGGTTGTGTCTCTTCCTACTCCCCTCCCTGTTTTGTTCTTCTCTCCTGTGTGCCCTGCATCCTGTCAAGTCCCCAGTCCAACTGGTTCATTCACTGTAGCGTCCTACTCTATCAGTCTACTCTCAGGGGCCTGGTGGGTTGGTCAGAGCACTTTTCTAAGTGGGCTGAGGCCTCCTGCTCACCTGCTTTCTAGTGTCTCCTCCTCGGACTGCTGAGGTCATAGAGCCTGGGGCTGCTCCCGGACCTTCTATTCAGTCCTGTGGCTTGCTGCCCAGATCAAGCCTCACCCCTAGGCCAGCTGACCCCTGCTGGCTGTGAGCAGTCTTGGCCTGCCTTTCCCTCGTTTGGGCCAGATGAACCCTGCGAGCTTCTGCCTCCATGCTCTACATTCGCTCTGTTCATCTCAGCATCCCCTTAAAGTCCCAGCAAACCGCACTTTCTCTGTTCTGTTGTGTTGGGATTCACTCTGTCTTCCCTGTCTCCTCTGCGAGATCTTTTGGGCTAAGCTCTTGGAGCTGTGGCCTGGGCCTGGCGTATTAGAGCTGTTGTGTACATGTCTGTCTCCCCAGTAGACTGAGCGTCCTGAGGGCAGTGGCTGGGTCTCTTCATCCTGTCCCCAGCTTCACCCAGCACAGGGCCAGGCACCGAGTAGGCGTCGGTAGATGTTTGCTGAATTGAATTGAATCCCCACGGCAGCTCTGTGAGGCAGGTAGGGCAGGAATTATGAGCCCCGCTTTCCCCAAGAAGAAATAGACTCAGAAAGTGTAAAGGGACTTGGACCCAGCATGTGGCTGCTGACGTGTTTGTGTGGCAGGTGGCGAGCTCTTCACGCATCTGGAGCGAGAGGGCATCTTCCTGGAAGATACAGCCTGGTGGGTGTTACTCCTCCACTTTCCTGAGGCCGCCGGGTCCCTGCCCTACTCCCGCCTTCACCCTGTCTTGTTTCTGCAGCTTCTACCTGGCCGAGATCACGCTGGCCTTGGGCCATCTCCACTCCCAGGGCATCATCTACCGGGACCTCAAGCCCGAGAACATCATGCTCAGCAGCCAGGGTGCGCCTGCGTGTGCGGGCAGCTGCCGGCGGGGTCTGCGATCTGTGGGGAGGCCTAGGAGCTCTGTGGGTGGGGTGGGGCCCTGGTCATGCCTCTCCACACTCTTCCTCAGGCCACATCAAACTGACTGACTTTGGACTCTGCAAGGAGTCGATCCATGAGGGCGCTGTCACTCACACCTTCTGCGGCACCATTGAGTACATGTAAGTGGCACCTGGCTGGCCCAGGGGTCGGGAGGACAGCCCGAAGGGGCATGGCCTGACTGACAGTTCCACCTGGACCCCAGGGCTCCTGAGATTCTGGTGCGCAGTGGCCACAACCGGGCTGTGGACTGGTGGAGCCTGGGGGCCCTGATGTACGACATGCTCACTGGATCGGCAAGTCCAGCCTCCTGGGAGGAGGAGGGGCAGGGGCAGGGGTGGGAGGAGCCCCCCTACTGGGGCAAGGGCAGGGCATGGTGGGAGGCCCACAAGGCTCCTCTCACCTTCCTCCTCCTCCAGCCCCCCTTCACTGCAGAGAACCGGAAGAAAACCATGGATAAGATCATCAAGGGCAAGCTGGCGCTGCCCCCCTACCTCACCCCAGATGCCCGGGACCTTGTCAAAAAGGTGGGACTCCTTTCTCTCTTCTCTGGGGCCCTGCCAGCCACTCAGCACGTGTTCTTGAGTCTCTCTGGGCTATGGGGAGGCCAGGGCCACCCTGCCCTGTGCAGTTTGCCTCTGGGAGTAAAAGGAGCCCCTCCCTTGAAGTCCGGGATTCAGCCCAGGTCTCAGCTCTGTCACAGACCAGCTGCTGCCCTAGCCCAGACCTTAGGCTGAGTCCTAACTGGGGACGTGCTTGTGATGAGCTGGCCACACTTCCATCAAAGACGAACATCAGAGGTGTTAGAGGGAGGCCGGGCAGCCACATGGGGAGTTGGTGCCTCACCAAAGCGCCCTGGGGCAATGCCAGGGCCCAGGAGCCTCTGCAAAGCCTTTGTGGAGAAGGTGGCTCCATTGACCAAAACTTGAAAGTCCCCAGGGTATCCACAGGTGGGAACCACACCCAAAGGCATTCTCTCCCATGTCACCTGACCCCCACTCCGGCTAGCCCTGGGACGTGGGGACACAGGAACAGTACTGCCCAGGCCCTCACCCTCTCTCCTGGTCCCACAGTTTCTGAAACGGAATCCCAGCCAGAGGATTGGGGGTGGTCCAGGGGATGCTGCTGATGTGCAGGTGGGTTTGGGGCCACCACCAGGGGTAGGGCTGAGTCTCCAAGGGTGCCAGGAATGGGGGTAGGGCCCCAGGGCAGAGGGAGTAACCAAGGAGGCAAGCAGGTGAGCTGTTAGTGGGTTCGGGGCATTCTCTACCCACAGAGGCATCCCTTTTTCCGGCACGTGAATTGGGACGACCTTCTGGCCCGGCGTGTGGACCCCCCTTTCAGGCCCTGTCTGGTGAGCAGCAGGCCCAGTGGCCGGTGGCCGGTGGTGGGTGGCAAGTGGAGAACCTGCATCTTGGTGCCCTCTGATCCCTCCCCTCTCTGGTCGGCCCACAGCAGTCGGAGGAGGACGTGAGCCAGTTTGATACCCGCTTCACACGGCAGACGCCGGTGGACAGTCCCGATGACACGGCCCTCAGTGAGAGTGCCAACCAGGCCTTCCTGGTGAGTGCGGGGGCCTGGGGACTGTGGGACCAGGGCAGGGATGGTGGCTAAGGATGGAAGTTACTGAGTGTCGCATGGCCCTGCCTCCGACCCCAGGGCTTCACGTACGTGGCGCCGTCTGTCCTGGACAGCATCAAGGAGGGCTTCTCCTTCCAGCCCAAGCTGCGCTCACCTAGGCGCCTCAACAGTAGCCCCCGGGCCCCCATCAGGTACTGAGGGATGTGGGGATGTGTGGCTGGGATAGGGACACTAGCAGGCAGGACGCCAGCTCCAGCCTTGGGTGCCTTGGCCACGTCTGTCAGCCAGTGTTGGCTTAGGTTGCTGTGTCTACGATGGGGACCTCAGTCCCTACCCCCCTTGCGGTCAGGCTGCCTAGGTGGGAGTTTGTGGAGCCCACGGCCTGTGTGCTTGGGCAGGTGGGAAAGTCTGCCTTCCTTGATCGAGTGCTGGGAGGCCCTGGCAGGGCCTAGGAAGCTCTTACTCTGCCTTGGTTTCCCCTGCAGCCCCCTCAAGTTCTCCCCCTTTGAGGGGTTTCGGCCCAGCCCCAGCCTGCCGGAGCCCATGGAGCCACCTCTACCTCCACTCCTGCCACCGCCGCCGCCACTGCCACCCTCAATCACCGCCCCTCTCCCCATCCGTCCCCCCTCAGGGACCAAGAAGTCCAAGAGGGGCCGTGGGCGTCCAGGACGCTAGGAAGCTGAGTGGGGTTGAGGGCAGCCCTTGAGCCCTATCCCTGCGGCTGTGAGGGCAGCAGGTCCCTGGGCCAGTGTCAGAGACCTGGGGGTGTGTCTGGGAGTGGGGTGTGAGTGCGTGCGAAAGTGTGTGCCTGCTGGGGCAGCTGTGCCCCTGAATCATGGGCATGGAGGGCTCCAGGCTACGACTGCTGGGGCCAGAGCGCTGCTGCCCACCATGCCCTGCGCTCAGCTAGCTGCTCCCGTGGAAGATTAAAGGGCTGAATCATGGCGCTGACCTGACTCTTTGCGCTGCACGCCTGGGGGCAGGGGTGGGTTGGATTGTGCCAGGGGGAGCCCCTGGTCCGGGAGGGAGGGGTCTCTGTAGGACCACAGGGTCACAGGCTGGAGGAGTTTTATTTCAAATGGTTGCCTGATGCCTGTGGGGGTGGGGGTGGGGGTGGGGGTGGGGGTGGGGCCCTTCCCGTGGTGAGGGGGGTACACGTGGACTTGGGAACTGGTGGGGGGTGACGGTCTGAGGTGTGGTCATGTGGGGTGGGGGTCCAATCCAGCCATGGCATCTTGGGAAGCAGAGGTACAGGGAGTGAGTGGCCGTGGCAGAGATGGGACACCAAGACCAGCTGCTACAGTGCGGTGACATGGAGGCCCTGGCCCCCAGCTGCCCTGGCGCTGTCGTCCCAGGCCGCGCTGCCAGCAAAGGCGTGCAGGTCACTCAGCAGGGCCTCAGCACTGCCCCCTGCGCTTGCTGGTCCTGGGGAGCCAAGGACCAGGTCGCCCTCCGTGTCACTGTCTCTGGCTTCCTCAGCCCGCACGGGGACCTGCTCTGGGCTGGACGCCTCTCCACATAGCTGCTCGCCTTCCCCGGGGTCAGCCTGCAGGCCACCATCCGTGACGTGGTCATAGTCTGCGTCCTGCTCATCCTCCTGGCGCTCAAGATCATTGTCTGGGGACCCCAGCTCAGCTCGGGCCTGCAGCCAGCGGCCCGGGGGGCTGGCCCAGAGCAAGCGCCGTGTGCGGCCCCACAGTGCGGCACCCAGGCGGGCCGGGTGGTAGTAGCCCCCCGAGTCACGGCTGAGGCGGCGCCAGGCCAGTGCCAGGCCGGTGACCAGCAGCAAGAGCAGCAGCAGCAGCAGGACAACGGTGACAGAGCTGGAGCCCACGCTGTCCTCCGCGCTGCCACCTGAGCCCAAGGCCCCTGGCAGGGCCAGCAGCATCCCGAGCCCTACGGTGCAGGGCAGAGCCTGTGGGAGACAGGCAGGGGCTCAGAGGGCTCAGCACCTGGGATGGGGCCTGGTGCGGGGCAGGCTGGGTGATCAAGACCACTTTCCTTTTTTTCTCTTTGGGATCCTCTTGGGACAGCCAAGCAGAGAAGGCCAAGGCCTTATTTGGTCAACCAGGCTCTGGCCCTGTGAGATCAGCCCCCATTCCTCCAACCTCCTCCCTACCACTCGCCTCCCCCAACCGCTGCACAGAGCCACCTGCCTGGGGCCTTCGCACTGGCTGTTCCCTCTGCCCGGAAAGCTCCACCTCCTCCCACCCTCCCCTCCCCCAGGCTGCATGGCCTGCTCACTGTGCTCAAAGGTCACCCCAGTGAGGCTGAACCTGACCTTAACCTCTACCCTGATGTCTATCACTGCAGCCCACCCCGGCACCCCCTAGCACCCCCTAGCACTCAGCGCCTTTTTCCTCTCATGCCACCTAATCAAGAGATAATTGTACTCATTTTTTATGTCTATTATCTACCCCCCACAATAAGCTGCTAGGAGAAGGGGGCTTTTTGGGTCAAGCATGTTAGTAGGTAGTCAGCGTGGGTGAAACATGTCTAGGCTGCCTGGGTGGGTGGGGGAGGAGATGGGAGGGAGGGAAAGAGGTTGCTAGTTGGTGTCAGGGCTCGCTCTCCCTGAGGCCTGGGATGGAGGATGGAGGATGGAGGATGGAGGGGCCTGGACCCTCCCCGAGGCAACTGCTCATCTTCTGCTTGGCCAGGTCCCCAAGCAGGGCTCCGGGAGGCCCCTCTTCCTCCCTCCCCACCACGGGGCTGCCCCAGCTGCAGGGTTTCCGTTCCACTCCCAGTCCCTGAGGGCCCCAGGCGTGCAGGGCCGGGGGGCTGGGGGAGGCGGGCGCAGCTGCCAGAGGAAGTCTGCGGTCGGAACAGGCTAGGTGGGGGGTGTCGGGGGAGGGGTGCTGAGGTGCAGCCAGCCTCCCCCAGCACCCCAGGCTGTCCACCCAGGTTCCAGGAATGCAAGTTCCCGCTCACAGGAAGACCAGGTGAGGGCCTTCCCCGGGCTCCTCAGGGGGGCCTGGTCCAGTGTGGGGTGCCGGGGGCCATGCCCGGAGTCCCAGAGAGCCCAGCTCAGGTGAGAGAAAGGTCCAGCCTCTGCCATACTTCTCTTAGGTCTCACCTCTTCCCCGGAGCCAGTGTGGGGCCCTCCTCAGCTCCACCGGCCCAGACAGTCCAGCCCCGACCGCCTGTGGCCCCCATCCCAAGAACCCGGGGGGTTCCGAGGCTCACCATTGGTCCACAGGCCCCTCCGCGCCGGGCACCCACCTCCAGCTCTGGCTGTGTTGAGCGAGAAGTGAGCTCAGTGCTCGTCTGCAGTGAAGGGTGGCCCGGGCTTCCGCTTCCTGCCCACATACCCCATCTGCCCCTCCCTGCTGCAGGACCCCTGGTCCACACCAGACCCTCCCCGGCCTTCCTGGAGGAGGCTGGGCTGCAGGGCCTGTCCTCCAAGGGAGAAGCAGCACCAACTTGAAGCTGGATGCAGCCTTGCATGTGTGCCCAGGTCCTCTGCCTCAGTTTCCCTGCCTGACAATCCAGGGGAGCAATGTCTATGGGGCTGCTCACTGCCCCCACACCAGCACATGGGTGACTCCTGCGACATCATCTGTCTCCAGGTTTCCAGACTTCTCAGCCCCACCCTTGCAGCGGCAGGTCAGCCCGGCTTTTAGAAAGAGAATTTTATTTGGAATGAAAATATAGAGCCCACCTTCCCGCCTCCTCTGGGGAGGGAGCAGAGGGCTGGGCAGTGGTCGGGGAAATGGTCCCTCAGAGGAGGAGGAGCTCGCCTGGGCATGGAAATCCTCCACAGGAACAGTGAAGAAAGCTGGGTGGTGGCTTCGGCCTCGGCCCGGGACAGGTCGGGGTGGGAACCGACCCCTGCGCTGCCTCAGAGGCCCTGGGCAGCCAGCCAGCCGGGTGCGACCCGCTGGCAGAAGCTGAGTGGGAAGGGGGCGGAGGAGGAGATGAAGGTGGCGCGTGGCTGTGGCCCTACGCATCCCCGTTCTCCATGCGGCCCAACTGCTCCTCCAGGCGGCAGATGCGCTCCCCCTGCTCCTTGACCAGCGCTCTCAGGGCCCGCAGCTCCTGCATCACCTCCTCCAGCTTCCCAGCCTCCTGTGGGGACATGAAGTGGGGGTAGGGGGTGGTGGTCAGGGGCTGCTAAGCCATAGCCCTCCCAAACCCACCACTACCCCAGCGAGGGAGAGCAAATGGCCCAGGCCCACACAGCAGGCCAGGGCCACAGGAGGGGCTCCCAGCATCACCCCTGCCTGTGGGTGCATACCCCAGCTCTGGTCAGGCTGCCGCTGGGAGTGGCATCAGCAGCAGTGGTGGTGGCTGCAGGGGCCCCCAGGCGGGAGGAGCCCAGGGCCGCGGCGGGCCGGCTGTCAGACAACACGTTGCGCCGGCTAATCTTCAGGTCCCGCTGCTTGCTGGGCACGTAGGCCTCCCGCAGCGAGATGAGGATCGGGTCAGCGTCCCGCCCGCTCACCCACTCCTCAGCCTCCAGGGCTGCCTCGGGCCCGGCTGTGTCGGGGTACAGATCATCCTGGAAGAGGTCCGACTGGGCAGGGGGCCAGGACGTCAGGATCAGTTGGGAGGCCCCATAGGGTCCCCTCATCCCTGGGCCTCCAGGCTTGCACTCTGTTAACCCATTCTCCCATGGCCTGGCCCCAAGGGGCCTCTCGAAAGCTCCATTGTGGCCTTTCACTTCCCTTCTGGACGCCGCCAACAGCTCCCTCTGAAGCTTTCCCACCCTTCTGAGCAAGGCCCCTGTCACCACCTTCCCCTGCAGGCCACAGGGGCCACTGTGTGGCTTTGTGGGATTCTGGGGTCCATGGACTGTGAGCTCCTGGAGCAGGCCCTATCAGCTCAGCTCTCAGCTTCACTCCCCAAAATGTGCCTGGCATGTTGAAAGAGCAGTCGGCAAACGCTGGCCAGAGAATCATGGAAGCGTGTCCAAGGCTCTTGGTATCTGAGGCCAAGCCACATGTGGCCCGGTCCCCTCTTCATGGGATTCCCCACTGTGGCCAGACTCCGTGTTCCTCTCTCCATTCCCACCACCGTGCCCTTCGCCTGGCCTGCCCCCAGTGGATGGCGCCACCCTAGCTGTGCTATGGGTACTGCCTCCTTCAGGAAGATCTCTGGCTCCCACTCCCTCCCTGACTGCCTGGCATCCTTCTCCTGTGGCTCATCCAGGGCAGGGCCCCCACTCACCCTGTGTCTCATCCCCACTTGCCCCCTGACTGGCACAGCCCAACAGCTGGCTGGTACAAGGGCAAGCTGGCATCTGTCCAGCTCACTGCCCACAAACCATACTAGGTCATGTTCCGTTCACAGGCCTTGCCCTAGTCACAATTGCATGGCCCGCCTGCTGGAGAAAGGGGCAAATGAGCAGAGGGACAGGTGGCCTCACCTTTCTTGGCACAGTCATGACGATGGGCTCACACTTGCGCTCGTGAAGTTTGTAGAACCTGGGGATGCGAGGAGCAGCTGTGGGTGGAACACCCGCCCTCCCCACCGCCAGCTCTCCTGGCTCCCAGCATCCTTCACTTCCAGTCCTCACCCCAGGACCTCCACAGGCTGACCCCTAAGGCGGCTAGACCGCCACACAGGCTGCCTCGTGACAGTTCCCATGGCCCGCCGGGCCTCCCTGGCCCAAGGTTTCAGCCTGCTCCCGAGCAGCCTCCAGTGACCTGACCTCTTACCTTGGATGCCCCTGTCCCTGAGTGGCCTCGCTGGCCCTCTTACCGGGCAATCTCGCACTTGCTGACCTCCAGGCCCCGCTTGGGCATGCTGCCCATGCCCCGCTGGGGCTCCTTGCTGGTGAATGTGTTCAGGAAGTGGATGTAGGGGGGCTCCTCTGTGATCTCAAAGTACCGGATGCTGGAGTCGCCCTGTGTGGGGAGGGGGCTCAGCACCCGGGCATGCCTCTTCCCTGCCCCTCGCCAGCCCTGCCCAGCCCCACCTTGCCGCAGACGTAGACCACACT